CAGCAGCAATAAATATATTTAAAGTAAGGTAAATAAAAATAATTAAACCAATCTAAATAATTTTAATGTGTTTATGCATATAAATGTATTCTGTGTTTGTATATGCATGATGTGGTGTGTGTGTGTTTGTGTGTGTATTTTTCTTTCTCCATCTATAACAATAGCTGATGAATAAAACTTGGCAACCCTTACAAAGATTTCTGGATATAATCCTCACCTTACTTACCAATGCAGTTGAACAAGGAACATTATTAAATTTGTGCAGATAGAATGGGCAACACAGTAACACATGCATAGCTTCTCGTTTTTTTCCTGTGGCCATGGGCATAAATATTCATGCCTTTTTTAATGTCATATCTACCTTCCATTAACATGAATGGCTAAAAATTAATCTGGCCCAAGAGAAGATTCTCAGTGAATGAAATACAATATATTATCAGAAGTGAAAGATCTTTGGGATAAACCATTATAGTGGCTGGGGGTTATATTCAGTTCTTTCGGATGATTACTGTCAAACACACATTGCCTTGACTTCCTTTTGCTTTCTTAAAGTCCATAGTACCTTAACATCAAATTCAACTCCTTTCTTCCAAGAAATAAAAGACCACTCCAAAATCTCAAAGAATAAAGGGATAAATCAATAGAAATCAATTTTAGCCAAAATCTTAGTTGACAAAGCTGAGCCTCTAAAGAAGTTACTCCAGATTCCTTGTACAATAATGAGATGGACATGTTCCAAGAAACTTGCCATACAGCTCTTAGACATTTAGACCATGTTGCTTTTAGAAGCCTTAAGTCTTTATAATTGCAAATCAGCAAGCGAAACAGCATGTGACTAATCACCTCAACTTTAAAAAAAGCAGCAGTGATGTAATTATTGTTTTTGCTACTAGCAAAAAACAAGGAATAGCATTAACATTGATATGCCCGGCTATAAAAGCTCTTACTTGTCCTGTGCCAACAGCAAAAGACTGAAAAGTAACTCATAAATATTAAATGTCTTAATTTACTCCATTCAGATGCTATTAATATTCTAATGTTTATGACTTAAAATCTCTTAATAAAGATTATGCACCATCCTTGATGTAGCATAACCAATTGTGAGTCTTTTTTCTCCACAATTTAAGAGAAGGGGTCAAGGGTGTAGAGGTGGGGGCCAGGTAGAGGTCATGTGCAGCAAACTGCCCCCTCCAAAGCCTGTGTGCCTCTTCTCTCTACATTATCTCATCCCTTCACATCACCATGGCAATGTGGGAAAGTATCCCAGGCTGGTACAATGATCTCACCTGCCTGATATCAGCTAGCTTACACCTACAGGATGTTACAGCCAACTGCTCCCTGTTTTGGGCCTCTGGCTTTCTGTTCTTAAGGATTGGTAAGGAGTTTAACCAATGAAATGCTATTGCTACGCTATTGCCATGTTAAACTTTTGCTGCTTGGAAAACTGTATAAAAGGCATTAAACACTGCGAAGGCGGTCAGCCATATTTGCACCCTGCACTAATTACTACATAAGGGTTTCTCCCTAAATCTGTGATAAGATGGCTGCACCATCAGCGTGTAGACCAGTGGTTCTCAACCTTTTTAATGCTGCGACCCCCAACCGGTTGTAAGTCGAGGACTACTCAACCGGTTGTAAGTCGAGGACTACTCAACTGGTGCAGCACCGTTTGCAGAATGGGACTTTTGGCGGGCTCAGCAGGGCAGAGACAACCTGGACAATTCCTATTGGCTTTTGAAAGCCAATAGAATTAGACTCTATTCAAGAGAGTCTATTCTATTGGCTTTCAAAAGCCAATAGAATAAAAGGGAGTATCACAGCTAAGGAAAAGGGGGAAAAATGGCAGACTGTGTTGTTTGGCGACCCCCGTGAAATGGTCGTTCGACCCCAAATGGGGTCCCGACCCACAGGTTGAGAACCACTGGTGTGGATGAATGGAAAGAGATTTGTCAGCTCTGGAGAATTGTTTTAGTCAAAGTTGATATATAAAAGGAATTTTTAAACTGTGGGTCATGAAATCCCCAGGGAATTGTCTGCAAAGTAGAGGGAAGGTTGCAAAAAATATATTGAAGTCCTATCAATCTTGCATCGGCAGAGCAGAAGCTTTGCCACAACTTGCCCTTGTTTTTTGTGAGCAGCCCTACAACAGGCCTGTGCAAGTAGCCCAGAGCAAGTTCTGAGAGGTGGCTAAACAGTGGGTTTAACCATCTATCAAACTAGTCACATATTTTATTAATTTATTTGGCTTTGTAAATTTTTTATTAGTTTATTCATGAGGAATGGTCATACAAATTTAATTTATAATTTTAGAAGATCTTGATATTGCAAATTTTCAGAACCTTGGCCCTATTGTAAAGATTTTAAGTTGAATTTTACAGGTTAGCTTATCTGGCTTATTGGTTGTCTGCCGTTCAAGTACCCTGCTCTCCTTTTTTGAGATCAGACAAGGCTAAGTAGACACTGCCAGCTTTTGTAACTTCTGCCTTAAGACTATATCAGGTTTAGAGTTAGAGATGATTGGACTGAGTTGAGTTATCAGATCTGAATAAAAAAATGATGCAGGCTACTCAAAGAAAACTGTAAGCCCAGAGAAAACACGTAACTCTACTGAAAAGGGAAAGAGCAAAGCAGGGATAAGTACTGTAATATATTTCTTTTGTGGCAGGGAAAACCTTAATGTTATTTGAATTCCTAATTGTAACATAAATGATGTGCCATAGCTGACAAAAAGTATATTTTCTAAATTGAAGGAATGTGATGTTCAAATGTCTGATTTCTTGTTTCTCATCATTAAGATAATCAGTGAAATTTGCTCAATATTAATCGAAACAGTCCTGGCAGAATGGCTACAGAAAGCCTGGAGCACAGTCTGACAGGGCTCCAGCTTTGCAACCAAACCTAATGTAATTTATGCGCGCTCAGCATCGTATTGGTAGTTTGACCATCCCAGCCCAGTAGCTACACCAACAAAGACCTTTAATACTGGGCCTTTTTTGCAAGCTAAAGCCATTTCAGCACCTGTAATTTATAGTGTCTTATAGCATCTCCTAGTCGTTGCATGAAGAAATAAAGTCTATTTTCACTCCTGATTTACAGGCACAAGGGTGGCTAAATGATGCTAGGAAAAATTAATGAGGAAATGATCTTATTCATTTCAGGAAAGGCTCAGATAAGTGCTTTAAAATGTCACATTTAATGCAAGATTTTTTTTCTCTAGCAAACCCAGCGAGATTTCCAGTTCTACCCATCTTCAAAGACAAATATGAGGTCTGCTTGGATGATAATTTTTAAGAGTAGCAAGAAAGCCTAAAATCCCTCTGTCCACAGAAATACTCTCCCTCTAATGCAGGGGTATGTGCAGAGTATGGTACAAAAAAAGTCAAGATGATAGCCATGACCATGTGATCAAGCCTGTTTTTTATGTGTAGTACACATACAAAATTGGTGGAGGTTGGATCACACTGTTATGACCAGCATCTTACTTTTTTTTTAACTGCCTACAGAGGAGATCCATTATATCTTCTCCAATCCCAGATTCCCAGGAGCAATGCAACAAGGAATGGGCATGGAAGACCCAAACCTTGGCCAAGATTTCCAGGCCCTTCAACCATAACCAGAGGCAGGGGCAGCACAGTGTCCTTCTAGCTGGCAAGTTAGGTATCCTTTCTATCTGGGAAGCTGCCCTAATGGATTTTACACAGAAAGATGGGAATAATATTCTTTTCCTACAGGGCCATAGACCCAGGGCCTCAATGAAGAAGCAGCAGCAAGCCAATCAGACCTCCAAAGCTGATGTTATCATCCAGCAGCAGCTCTTTTTACAATTCAGAGAACTTATGGTAGATGCGCCTGCAACCTGTCCCATTCCACTTTCCTTTAGCACACAAGTGTCCACATCCAGGGTGAATCAGTAATAAGAGTCCAGCCAGCATTGCTTCCTTCTGGACTGGGCTTCCGCCACTTTCACCCTAACACCAAGAGGGGAGCAGGCAAGTATCCCACATCTCCCCACCAAGCTCCATCTAGGCAGCTTTCCATCTACTGAGAGTAGTCCATCCCACTGGAGTAGTCCATGCAAATCTGGAGGAGCCCTGTCAGACTGTGTGTACTTACTAGAGGCTCTGCTATGACAAGGGCTGCCTTTGCTTGGCCTAAGTGGCCTTCTGTAACTCCTCCGGCATCTATGGATCACCAGTGGGTGTACACCGTGCAAAGCTAACTGGACAAGAGGGAGGTTTCAGTTGGGTCTGCAACCTCATGACCCTCCTCTCCCAGATTTGCTCCACAGCTTGGGAACCCCCGCCTTAAGGTCAGAGGCATACAATAATACAATTAGGAGAACCAGACAGTAATTTTAACAATATTCTTTTTTAGCTGAGTACTACCATGAGAGGAGCAGAAAAAAGAGAAGAGCCAGAAAAAAGGTAGAATGAAGGTATTTTAAGGTTTGAGCCCAGGTTATGGAAGGACGAGGTCATCATTTTATCTCCCTATTTCATGTATCAAAATACTGTTAAACTTCTGACAGCTGAATACTGAGATTTAATGTTTCTTGTTTTAAAAATGCATTATTTATGTAGCAGCAACACACTTATAAATAAAAAAGGCAAAATCATTTTGCTCTTTAGCATCTGCACATCTATTTCTAAACAATCCTAATCTAAGGTAGTTAAATAACGGTGTTCATATAACATATGGCCTTCTTTAATTTTCAATAACTCCAGTGATTTAACCTAATATAGCAAACATATAGAATAATTAATCCAGAGAAATGCTCAAATTCTTTTATACATACTTACATATATTTCTTTATGTATTTTGCATAATCAACTTGAACAAAAATCCAAAAAGGTTGGACTATATGCATTAAAAATGTGAAGTGAAACAATGGAACTTAAATACGGAATATGTAGCTTTTTGTGGAATATAAATTTGTAATTTTTAATGCACTTGTAAATTCTTAATATCAACAAGGAAAGTATTCATGGATGGTTCTGGAATATGTAATGCTTCAACATGTTAACACATCTAGATGGTATTAGAAACTAGCAGGAACTCAATATTTATAATAATAAATAAATATTCAAAACTCATGTATAAAGCTTTTGAGCAGAAAAAATATTCATTATGTAATGCAAACATAGACACAGAAAATATCCAAACACAATAAGGAACAAATAATCAGTGACTTCGTATCTATCCTCTCATCCAATAGCAAGAAAGATGGAGGGAGTAACATTAGAATTCAGTAGTCCATTTTCAAAACAATTGCAGACTATTATCGGTCCTCCTTCAATCAGATTTTCCTTTAAATCTAAGTGATGAAGAGGCTATTGGAGAAAGAGGCAGCTTGCACTATGATGGCAAAATATTAAAGTCAGCCATTCTCTGGCATCTTTATATTTAATCTTATTTCTGGTACTGAAGTAATGGTAACTGATGAATTTGTCTCCAATGGTTTTCTCTCCTAATATTAATAAGGATAGTAAAGTTTAACAAATTCATGGGCTGTTTTGAGAAATAATGTTGGGTTTTGTTTTGGTTTTTTTTCCCTGCCTGATATAAGAATCCAGAATGGACACAACATGACACAATGTGTCAAGGCATTTTGATTCAAGTGTTGGAAACAATGCAGTCTTCCTCAGTGCTCAAAGAGAAGTGTTGGAGGTGATACATCTCATTTAGCATTAAGTCAAAGAAGATAGAGTGGATTCATCTAAACTGGTGGTTTCTCTTAAAAGCATTCGTGTTTTAAGCTTTTTTTATGCATAGAAGGCCAGAAAAATAGCAATAATAATCAAATATTTTAATGAAGGTTTCCAATATTTTAATGAAGGTTTCTACAGTTTCTAATATGCTGTTTCTAAATGTCCCTTTCATATTAGTAGTTTTCTTCTCATGCTGAGATATAGCCCTCTGTGGCCTAAAGGCCATAAAAAGGATTTTATTTGATTCAGATATTGCCTATGTTGCAATATCTAAACAGCACTTATTAGTTATACTGCAGCATCATTCTTGTTCATCTTCAGTTTGGATTTATTCTGATTTATATCTTTACAGAAAAATGGCACAAAATCACAAGTTTCAAAGACTAGTTGTTACAACCTTTTATCTTAAACACCTCAAATACCAATTTTTCTTACCATATATACAATATTTACATACCATGGGTTATTATCTAAAACAACAGATAACTGGGGGACATACAAAGGGATTATATCAGCAAGGAAAATCAATCATAAATAAAACAGCTCTTGTTAAAAATAAAGACAGGGAAAAAATGGGGACTTGCTATCCTGGGCCTTCACCGAAAAAGAAAAGAGCAACAGAGTTTCTTAGGCAATAAGACTTGATGACTTGATGACTTGATATGATTACTTAAATGACTTGATATGATTACTTAAATGACCATAAACTGACTATAAGTATTTGCTAATACAGTGATTCTATCTTTACCATTTGCTGACTGCAACACCAAGCAAAGATAGTTAATGATCACTAACGATGAAACACTTCTGATAGAATTTTCATATTAATGTAAACACAATGCAGTACTAATAGGTTTTTAAAACTCAAGTGAAAATTTCTTTCTCAAGAAACATCACTACTAGAGGTAAGTCTTACTCTCCATTTCTTGACTTGAATTTGTGAACCATAAGGAAGCCATCCAGGCTCATGAGCAGATGAAATCAGACTCTTGCTTAATTCATTGTTCACGGTCCCTTAAGGATGTTGAATATCAAGTATAACAACTGAAATTTATCTCTGAGATGCATTTCTCACATCATCAACTACCCTAGCTAAAGCTAAACACACAAGATTGGGAAAAGTGGCTGGGATCTGAGTTACACGATATGGCATCCAGATAGTCTTGGTACCCTGAGTGCTCCATTCCCAACCATAGCAATTCATGATTACGTTACAATATATGGAATATAATCTTCACTGGAATTAACTCAGTGTCATACAAATATAATTTATTTTATTGATATGATTTCTCCTGAAATGCTCTAGGGAAAAAACGGCATTACCTATTTCAAGATGGTAAGCAAAGGCAGACTGTGACAAGCTACATCCGGATATCTTAACCAGGGGTTCTCAACCTTGGCAACTTTAAGACTTGTGGACTTCAATTCCCAGAATTCCTCAGCCAGCAAAGCTGGCTGAGGAATTCTGGGAGTTGAAGTCCACAAGTCTTAAAGTTGCCAAGGTTGAGAACCCCTGTCTTAAACAGTCCAAAATTAGGTATTATTAGGCAAAGTTCACATTGTGTTAGTAGAGTAGGGCAGCTGAACGTCTTAAATCAATGATGCTGATGCTGTAATCAGGAACACAGTATGAGGTAGGGTTGCCCCCTGATCAATTTTAAATTTTGGGTTGATTTTTGGAAAAGAATGCTTCCTTTATTATATAGCCTTAATGCCAGGCAATGGGCAGTTTTAAATGAAAATATAAATATGCACAATTAAGCCTTTTAATTCTCTTCTGAGAAAGGTAACAACCTGATCAAGTCAAGCAGAAAGATACTTATTTTGATCACTGCATATAATGATTGAGCACAGACAGGATGGTAAGCCATTGTATCGTTTGTTTGTTTGCTTTGGCTTAGTATGTTGTCTGTACCAAACATTGTGATTTGTAAACTAAAGTATATGGATTAAATGTGACAGCAAAACTAAACATTGAAGCTTACTTAAAAAAAAATCATAGTTAAAATAAAACATGGCTTATCACAATGTGTGAATCTAGATAATGAGATGACTATTTTTAAAGAGGAAGTGATAATGGAATAATGGATGCTGAATAGCAGGTGGGGGAAGGCAATAATGATTTAATAAACTGTGAAAGTATTCAATGTCCACCTCCCTCTCCCTGCTTGAAATGGAGGGAGGCAGAGCCCAACGGCTCCTGAGCACAAAGATTGCAGGGGCAATATGCTCCTGAGGGAATCAGTCTTTGAACACACCCAGCACAACATGGCCTTAGCCTGTGATTTCCTGAAATGTATAGAGACCAAGTGGATCCACCCTCCAGGTGAGTAGGGATTACAGGGAGGACCCCATTAGTCTGAGAGGAGGCGGAAGCTACTAGATGAGTCAGTCTTCAAGAAGATGGCTGATTTCCCATCATCCCCTTCCTTCTAAACCAGTTTTTCATCCTCTTGTAATAAATCTGATTTTTCCATTTGCCGATCATCCTCTGCCGTGGCTGCCTCTTCCTCTTTTTCTGGCTTCCTGACTGGGGTAGGAGGATCTCCAGGGATGGTCCCCAGGACTTTGGTGCTATGCTCCTGAGCTTTGGCCCTGAGGGCAGCAATGCTGTTCTCTCTGAGTTCCTCCTGGGAAATGGTAGTTTTGGAATCTGCCCCCCTTTCTTCCTTGTCACTCTTGTCGAGCTTGGGCAGGGCCTGGCGTTCCATCTCCGGCTTCCTTCCTGCCTCAGCCGCTGCCTCCAGAGACTTTTTGTGCATCCCTAAAAAGAATTGTTGGTATTCGGGTTTAGAAAAGCGCCTGGGCATGGGAAAGCCATCTTGAACTGAAAACAGTAAAGATAAAGAAAGGCCAGAATTAAGGAAAAGCAGAAAGCCTTGCTTCAAACAGCAGTCACACAGAGAGCCCAATGAAGGGGCCCTGCATGAGGAAGACCTCCAGCCAATTCTCTAATAAGAACAGCCAGGCTTGAGGAGAAACTTACACCAGTATTCCACCTATATGTATTTATCTTTGTGTCTGAACCCTGATGTCAAATCTGAATATTTTAGATTGGAGGAGGAAAAAGCATCCTTTGTGGGGATGAATTGTCTTTTAATAGAGCTAAAAGCAGAGTTACAAAAGAAATCTATGTTTATAAAGAAACACAAAGATTTCTAAGGCAGCAAAATGACAAAACCTGTTATCCCTGCGGTTTAGTGGACTAGGACAGAGGTCCCCAACTTTTTGGGCACCAGGGACCGGTTCTGTGGAGAAAGGTTTTTCCGTGAACCGGAGGGTGTATGGTTTTGTGTGCTGCCTGCATCCCGCGGATGTGGCTTTGCTTATTTGTGCAGACTGGTTGCTGGCATGCTGCAGCCCATTACTGGTCCATGGACCAGGGGTTGGGGACTTGGACTAGGGTAGAGGACCCTAAAGACACAGCACTCCTAATTCCATTAGGCTGCAGAATTTCACCAAATACAGAAGTGAATCTGTATGTGAAACAAAGCCTTGATGAGGAAATGCTAAACCCTTACATGCTGCTTTCCCCCCCTAACATGTACCATCCATCCATGTCCTTTCAATTTTCATTTTCTAGTAGACTGAAGTATGAAGCAGTACATTTGTAAGAAGCCAGGTGTTAAATTTAAAGAATTAGCCTGGAAAAGCAGAAAAGAAAAGCTAAGGAAGAAGCAGAAGTGCATGAGAAAATTGGCTACTATATTTAAATAGCCTTAAACTATCAGCCAAATTTGTTATAATTAAATTACTTGTATATAGGGTTTGTTTACTGCTAAGCCTTCACAGTGCTTGGCACATGGAAGGGGAGAAGGGAAAAATTTATGCACAATCAACATTGTGAGAATGGACTTTTCATCTGATTACCATCTAACCGATCAGATTGCACTCTAGTCACTAATCTGCCATGCCAGGGTGCTCCTGAAAGGAATGCCTAAGAGTAGAGGTGAATAAAAATTTGTCCTCTGGTCTTTTAAATAATACCAAGGCTGGCCAAGAATTTTGGAATTTTAAGAAGGCAATTGTTTTCAAGATTTGTTTGCAAACTACCAAAGACATCAAAAAGAATGCTGGACTAGGAAGACTCCTGGTCTGATCTAACAGAGATCTTCTTACACTGGTAGTCCTCAACTTATGACTGGAACCATTGCTAAACAAGGCAGTTGTTAAGTGAGTCACACCTATTTTACAAGCTTTTTTGCCAAAGGTGATAAGCAAATCACTGTGTTGTTAAGTGAATCACACACTTGTTAAGCAAATCCAGCTTCCTTCATTGACTTTGTTGGTTGGAAGCCACTAGGAAGATTGGAAATGGCAATTGCATGAACCCAGGATGCCGCAACCATCGTAAATACATGCCGGTTGTGACATACCCAAATTTTGATCATTTGCCTGTGGGGACATTTGATAGTCATAAGTGCGAGGACCAGTCATAAGTCTCTTTTTTCAATGCTGTGGTAACTTTGAATAGTCGCTAAACAAATGGTTGTAAGTCAAGATCAACTTGTATGTATAAATCTACCCAAACCCTTAAACATATTTATTATGCCATGATCTGTGATTACTGTTTTCTGAATTAGAAAGCTTCTAAAAACCTTTAAAGGATTTCCAAACTTTTTGCCCAAAGTTATCAAACGTTTATGTTCTCAGCCAGCATGAACATCTGGCAGGGGATTCTCACCATAACAGTTTTCCATGTGGTAAATTGCTGAGAAAGTATGAAGAATGTTTTTGGCAAAAACATTGTGGGAGCATAATATAAAACACAAGACTATTAGCATTAGACATAAAGGTTTTATATTCCATGAAGTTTAATAAAACCTTCCATTAAAAAGCAGTACTGGTAGCCATACTTGTTGATCTGTGCACCCTCTAGAAAGGCCCTAGTTGAGCTTTATGCCTATAAGTAATCCATGTTCAGATATTCCTTTCCTATCCTACCTCTTTTACACAATACAAGCTTTCTGAACAGGTGAAAGGGGTCTTTCAGGTGTGTTAGCCCAAAGACCCATTATCTACCTTCCAGCATGGCTAGTAACCCAAATCACATAGCGGGCACATAGGAAATGCTACTTTAACTCCCTTCCACTCTGTCAGAACCCTGGGCATTGGCTATAACAAAATATAGATCTGTTCTCAAGACTGAGCGCTTACCCAACAACCAAGGGGCACAAGATTCCATTATGCCATCCTTGGCTGATTTCAGAATGGATTCTGGCAGTGGGATGGAGTGACGCACCATTGCACCGTACAGGCCATATTCTGCCATTACACTGCTTCTTCCCCAACATTTTTCTCTCTTTCGCCATTTGGCCCGGCGATTCTGAAACCAAACCTGCAATAAAGAAGACTGTTTAATAAGAAAAGTATAATTTTTATTTGCCACGTGATTGCTGTACCCTAATGAGTTCAATTTAAATAAATGAATAAACAAAACAGAATAAAAGGCATTGACTAGTCTAGTGAAGGGTTGTTTGTACTTTAAAACTAGTATGTCTAAAGATGATTTAAGGCTATTTCATTCTTTGACTGGGAATGAGATGAAACCAATGTTTGTAGGGCCAAGGGGGAAGATTGGTGTTGTTTGAACCTGACTCTGTCATGGTGAAGTACAAGTGAGAATAGTCTTTAATGCTAATAAAACATTACTCGTCCACATTAACTAAAACAGAATTTAATTAACTTTCCCCACTGTCAAGTATTATTTTGAATGTTTACCCCTTTATATGCCAATTATATCATTCATTAGAACATTAATTTGGTAGGTATGAAAGAAGATCCAGTTAAACTGAACAGTTGTTTAAAGGGGGAAAACTAAGTAGTCCTTCAAAAAGTAATTTCATAAGCAAACCATTTAAGTATGATTGATAATTATAATTATTGAAATGTTTTAAAATATTTAATATTGTTTTAATGGTAGTAAAGATTTGAATTTTAATTAGGTAAAAATAATGTATGTAAGATGATAGTATTATGCATACATATATACATACAATCCTCTCTCAAAAAACATTAAATGTAATTAACTACTACATAGGCTATATAGAGAACATCTCATCAATTATTGTTAAGTTGACTTAAAATTGCATCTACTTAAAGAGGGGTGTACAACTTTTTAATGAATGAGAGCGACATTTAATATTTTTTTAGGGTTGATGATCACATGGTGCAGGACAATTATTAGGACTATACAGGACAAAGACTTTCTAAGAGTTTGTGGAAGAGTCTCAAGCATTTTTTTTCCTCTTTTTTCAAGCAGTCTTAAACCCAATTAGGACATGTAGCACATTTTTAGGTTTTCTGTTCTATATGGTAAGAAAGTATGCCACTGAATTTCAGCAATTGCAATCAGAGGAACTCTGTGGGCTGCATGTGGCATGTTTTCTACTCTAAGGTAGAAGAAATGTGTTTTATGACAACTGCAAGATATATTCATTCTTCTTAAAATATGCAGTTGGAATTTTGTGAAAAAATAGAAGACATACTGAAGGCAGGAATAGAGATACATTGCCTCACAAAAATAGATAAATACAAAAGTGAATGAACAAACTCTGGTATCTCATACTAAAAAAACAAATGCAAGTAATCTGAGCATACTTGTGCTACCCAAAAATAAAGTGCTAATAAATGGTGTAGTGAATGTTGCCCTGACCATACTATTCAACTTTATCTTACCATGCCCGTCCACCTGACATTTATATATACAGTACAGTAGGTAGGATAAAAAAGGCAAACCTAAATTGACTTATTATAGGATAGAATGTCTTTCCACTTTACATCAAGGGCATACAAAGGATGGCTGCTTTTCATTTACTGTCTGATCATATTCATATACTGTCTGAACTTCATGTATTGTGAGTTTTCTTCCACTTGGCTTGATTGAGAATGGAGCCAATACACAAAACTGTTTCTTTTTCTGAGCCCAAACCTTTCCCTTCCTTCCTTCCTTCCTTCCTTCCTTCCTTCCTTCCTTCCTTCCTTCCTTCCTTCCTTCCTTCCTTCCTTCCTTCCTTAACTTCCAGTTATGGCACAATTTTTCACTCTTCCTGCCATCACCAAATACAGCTAGATATAGCTTTTATTTTCATTACATTTATTTGAAAACCAACTTGCCATAATCTCAGTTTTCACTGAACAGGGTAAAAGCTGCATATGGGGGCATGGTATTTTGATGGGAAGTTAGACACAATTAACTGAAGCATGGTTTGCTCAACTCAATTTGCAGAATACTTTGGATGAGAAAGTAAAATGTAACAGCTGAGTTCACATAATTGTCTAATATAAAATACAGATGGTTAATTCAGGATCAAGCAAAGCATAATTTCACTGTTCTCCCTGACTCTGATTTATTGCCATTCACATACCCTCCCCAGCTACCAGAGCATTGTAGTTTGCTGCAGGTTACCAAAATCTGATTTTTTTTTGCAAAATTAGGTAAAAGAATGCCATTGGACAAATAACTTCCCCTAATATCCCTTTGTTCTTTTCCAAAGGATAATGCCAAGATTATAACACCACATAATATGAATCCTCTGTCCTGGTTCATACTGAATTGTTTCATGTTTAAATAATCACTTCATACGACAGTCCCATGATGGAACTGAATGTAATTTGCAAATTTCAATGGATTCTTAGTATAATCCCAGTCTTCACTTCATACAAGGTCTAAGTAAAATTGTGCATACTTTTCCATCTAAACAGTATAATAATCAGAGTCTGATGGCTCACTGCAGGACTATAATTAATTCTCATTATACCTTTTGTGCAAGTGGCCTGGATTTTGCCTCTATTTAACGGAGGTTATAAAGAGAGAAAGGAAAAGAGAGGAATGTTCGACTATATAGGGAATGCAAGAAAAACTTATAGAGGCCACCAGGCGATGGAGAAAGAGATGGGGATACTATGTATGTCGGCTGCTTTTTAACCCTCTTGGGTGGTGCAGACATGTCCCGTTGACGGCACTAGCTTCCACCATTCAGGCCGCGAGCCTACAGCTAGCAGAAATCTATTATCGCCCGGGGGCGCGCGCACTTTCTCTCTCCTCGCCTTTTTCCCGCCTCAGAGAGAAGCATCAGCTTTGAGATGAAAAATTGCTCGCGGTCTATTCAGGAGGAGGTAAAGGAAGAGTCAGCTCCAGGGGCAGCCCAGGCCTGATTGAAAAATAAGTTAATTTCAGTTTGAATCGATGGGCCTCAGGCACTGAAATACCACGGGAAATTAAAGCGGCTGCTCCCTGGGGATCGGCGCCATTGACCCGCGCTAATTAATGCCGTAGCGGTGGTGAAGTTCTCGCTCGCTTCTCCACGAGACAGCCGCCCCTCCCTTCCGTGGCAAGCATAGCCTCACACCGCAGCCACCAGCTTTTTCTCATTTAACTAATTAAGCTAGAAAATTGGGTGTTAATTTGTTTAGGGTTTTTTTTTAAGCCCCCCCCCCTCCTGTTGTTTTCCTTCCTCTCCTCCCTCTCCTTTCCAGGGAAGGCACGCACCGTCCCCGGCGGAATGGAAATGAATGGTGGGGGCTCGCTGGCAGATGGATGCTCGGGGGGTCATTCAGCAATCTTCTCCGACTTGATTGCTTGATTAGGTCGTTAGCACATTAAAAAAATGCTCTCCGTCTGGCGCTGTCCTGATGAGTGGGCCGAGGCGGGAATCGCCTGGGTAATTTATCTTTTTATACAGCAAAGAATTTGATTTCAATCTGCAGATATATCGAAGCGCCTTTGACACCTGTTTAACATTGCAGCGCTGACAGTTTAACCCTGTGATGATTCCGTTGGGCGGCAGCGGAATCGGGCAGGGTGGAGCAGCACGAGTCCCCGAAAGGGGAAGTTGTAGCTGGAGGGGACTTCAAAGGGGATTCTTGTGAGGGAGATTTTGAGTAGAACCGCGTAAAGAAGAACACCCTCCCCATTGAAAGCCTCCTGAGATTAAGAAAATACATAACTATACATATACATTATTGAATTGCATTGCCAATTGGATATTAAATAAGGTTGCAAACCTAATTATACTTACATGAAAGTTACAGGTAACACAGATCAAAATCCCTTTATGACTTTTTTCTTTGGGGTATTTTTTATGACCCTTACCTTACATGCTGATATTTAAATACGTATTTCCTTTCTTACAGCAATGAACATATGAAAAATGTATGCACTTGGGTTAAATAATGATAGGATATTTGCAACACTAATCATATAATAAATTTGATATTAATTTGATGAGACTTATTCCTAAATAAGCATTCTTATAAATCCAATACTAAAAAGTACTGAATTGCATAAATAATCTATGTCCAATTGGAACAGAAATATTTTAAAATTGTCAATAAAGTAGCAAAGGACTGTGAGTGAATTATAGGAATTAATGTTACTTGATTTAAGTCTTGGATCATGACAGTGATCTAACTGGGGTAAGATATCTGAGGCAGAATATCCTTACTAATAAATTATTTTACAGTTTTTGCTGCCTTTTAATGAAGTCCAAAAAAATGTACTATTGGAAATGAGCTATATCACACCTTTTCCTATTGTGGAGAGAGAGATCAGTTATTCAAAGATTTTATGGGGGATATTGCCTTGATTGAGAACTCATGTTTACTACTTTAAGTATTGTGAGCAATCTTGAACTCATGTAAAAAAGGTAACAAAGTTTAAGTAAAGCTGATTAGGCTTTCTTAATAGGTAGATAGACATCACAGGTAGTAATAACAATTTCCAAGAGAGCTTGGGTAGGGTAATATCTAGTTAAATGAGGCTTGGAGACAACCCAGAAACCTGTTTGTGTGAGCAATAGTGGTTGTGCATAAATATATATACATACACACCTACATATATACACACACACTTAAATATACATACACTTATACACACATGCACACACATCTAAAAGTTCTGCCTTTCAAACTGCCTTCTGATCTCAAAAGAAAATTGTTTCCTATTCTGGTCTACCTGCCTCATTCATATACACAGCAAAAATAGTGTGTAATTCTATTAGGATAATAAGACATTTGTGAACTAAGCAGGGAGGAACAGTCTGTTATACATCTCTGCATTTAACAAGAAATCTTAAGGATATAATTTACCATGTGGCTTAACAAACTATTACAAATGAACAGTTTATGAAGAAATTAAATACAACTGTAGTAAATTTCATTTGATACATATTTTATGCATATCAAGTACATTGAAATAAATCTGAATATATAAGCAGGCTTATATGCACATTGTATCTACATTGTTCCATATAATGTGTGTATTTAAATGGATTTATTTTTAATATAACTGAAAATGCCAATCTAGATGTATTTGTTGCATGGACCTATATTGAATGT